ATATATATATATATATATATATATATATATATATATATATATATATATATATATATATATATATATATATATATATATATATATATATATATATATATATATCTTTGTCTGAAAATAAATGATATATCAAGCTAATATTGGGAGCCCAATCGATCAAACTTATCACGTTTGATAAAAATATTATTTTAGGCCTTATAAAAGAAGAGGAGAGATTAATGATGATAAAATTATTGGAGCCAATTGATATTAACGAAAATGAATAGATAATAGCGCGTAGTACACACTCAGCTATCCCTAATCTTCAATTCATACGATAATAGAAGTGGGTTAAGTGATACCGGATTTGGTTAGGTTAGGCGTATTAATTTCCTAATCCACCTATTAACCCAACCTAACCCGCGACCATAACTCACATTGTGGTTGGTGATTAACAAATAACAATAAGGAGTGGAGTTAATTGCAAATGTTACGAACGGACTCACTTCTCGCGTCAGGGTTTGATCCGATTGGATTTAGACTCGGTTACCAGCTTGATCGAATGTGGATTTTGACCCGATATGATTGGATCCGATTGGTACGAGGAATCAAGATCGATGTAGACCCATTTCCATCGAACGGTCACGATCACTCTGAATCAGACAACGACGGCCAGATTCCTTCGCCTCTTACCGCGATAAACCCCGTCGCTCTTCTCTCCGCCTCGTTAAGCAACCCTTCGAAACACCCGCTCTCCTTCTTCGGCTCGTCCATTGCTTGCGGCGCGGCGCAGCGCAGCACAACCCTTCCTTTTGGGCAAGCAAAAGGTAGCAAAGCTCTCGCCTTTCTCCCTCCTCGAGGTTGGAATCCGCTGCCCACCCAAAACCCTAACGCCCAGCCGATGTAGATCCCTTGGTTTTTCCTCTTTTCCTCTTCTCGACTAACCCTTCGCTTCTAAGCCGAAACCCTAAACTCGAACCATTGTGTCCCCGTAGCCGTGTAGTCTGTCACTGAGCCCCTTGGTTTGTTTTTGTCTTGAAAAGACCTCATCTTGGTGCTGGGACCCCTTCGAATCTGTTCTATGATCTAGTGTATTACAAAAACCCCGATTACTGGATTTTTTTTTCTGATTTGTTGTTTGATTTCTCTTTTTCATGTGGTGATATAGATTGGTGGTATTAAGCCGACGTCCAGATGTTGGTTTTGTTCGAAACCCCTGCGGGTTTTGCCTTGTTCAAAATTTTGGATGAAGGGAAGCTGGACAAAGTTGAGGTGACGACGTCTTCCTACCCTATATTTGTCGAATTGTGATATGTTTCATCATATCATCATCTGACTTTCTAGCATTATCATTTTCCACGTTTTCTATTGCAGGATTTGTGGAAGGAATTTGCTACCTCAGAATCGGCTAGAAAGGTCACTGCGTTTGTAGCCTTGGTTTTTGCTTATTTATGCGTCGTCTACTCATCGCAGATAGGACTGTGCCTTCAGCTTTAGTGAATATTATCATTATGCGCCCAATGGTTGCCTTAGGGAACTTGTATCTGCCTTAGTAAACTATAGAACAATAAACATCAGTCTTGATGGTGCTTGTTATTCAGGTTCTTTTGTCTTTGATCTTAATGCTTTTGCTTATTTTGCTTCATCAGATTGTAAAGTTGAAAGCTTTCAATAAATTTGAGAACACTTCAGATGCATTATCCGCTGCAACCTTATTGATTGATAGCAAGCCTAGCAAGGGCCTCCGGAAGTTTCTACGTACTCACTGTGATGGTGAAACCTTGGCCGTGGCTGATTCAAAACTTGGAAACGCAATTAAAGAGAAGCTGGTTAGCTGATTGCATTGGATAATTATGTGTAGAAGATATGGTTGCAGAATCTCAAGTTTGTATGCTAAGTACATTTGTTTATGGCTGATTTACAGAAAATAGACTGTCTCCACAACAATGCTGTAATGGAGCTAATGAGAGGACTAAGGAACCAGCTGACAGAACTTATATCTGGGTTGGCCGTGCAAGATTTAGCTCCAATGAGCTTGGGATTGTCACACAGCCTATCTAGGTACAAGCTGAAATTCAGCCCTGATAAGGTGAGTCCTTAATTATGCATCACAACTTGTGCTAGAGGGTGTTAATGGAAGTGTTGTTCCATTGTGTATGTGTTCGAAAATTTTTATAACACGGCCAATTCCTTACTGATCAAGTAAATAGATAGATTTGTATTTGTCTAAACACAATTTTGTATCTATCCAGATTCATTTTTTTGTTAGATCACCTTCTGATCAATTCCTATACACATTATTCTTTGGATTGCCTCTATTTTAAGATAAATTAAAATGGAAATTTCATATGGCTATCTGCACCTCTTATTGATCTTCCTACATTTTCGGTTATTTTGTAACATTATCTTTCTGATGAACATTTTAGGTGGATACAATGATTATTCAAGCCATAGGTTTGTTGGATGATCTTGACAAAGAGCTCAATACCTATGCCATGAGAGTCCGTGAATGGTATGGATGGCATTTTCCAGAGCTTGCTAAGATTGTACAAGACAATATTCAGTATGCAAAGGTAGTTAAGCTGATGGGAAACCGTACAAATGCTGTCAATCTTGATTTCTCTGAGGTAAAACATTAGCTCTCCTACAAGATTATCAATTATACAAAGATCTTTGGTAATAGCCAATTATTTTCTCCATGCTAACAGGTACTGTCTGAAGAGACTGAAGCAGAGCTGAAGGAAGCAGCAGTTATATCAATGGGAACTGAAGTTAGTGATCTAGACTTGGCAAATATTAAAGAACTATGCGATCAAGTTCTAGCTCTTTCAGAGTATAGAGCTCAACTTTATGATTACCTTAAAAGCAGAATGAATACAATTGCGCCAAATTTGACTGCTCTTGTTGGTGAGCTTGTTGGAGCTCGTCTTATTGCTCATGGTGGTAGCTTATTGAATCTAGCAAAGCAACCGGGTAGCACAGTTCAGATTCTTGGAGCGGAAAAGGTATGTTTTCCACTAAATCTTTCTGGCATTAGAATGCTTGTATATTGTTTCTCTTGAACACAAGAAAACTATCCTTTCTGCTCATCTCATATTTTCCTAATTTTGAGGTGATCAATCAGCTGGAATTGTCAAAATTGACCAACTCCACTCGAGTTTGGTTGCTTAGTCTATTCAACCGACTTGTTACATAAATCTGGAGCCAACTAAGATTGAGTTTGATTTATTTTTAGTGGATTTTGATCAAAATTTTCCAACAAGCTGATAAATCAGTGAAAAATGGATCAGTGTTGGGCAATACTGATACGTTCATGCATACCGTGTCAGGAATTGACTGATGTCACGAAATATAGGTTTTGGCATTAATAGAAGATGTCTATACCTTTTGAATAATTGGTCTAAAATTTATATTTGCTATCATATTAAATAGAAAAAAGTGAATGATTCTATTGCTTACTGGATGTTCTGAGAGCAACAAATTGATTCGTCCCAAATGGACACTTCCACTGCTGTAAAGAATAGCCTTTCAATTAATTGAACACAGTTTGTGTCTCCCTTCCTACTTTGTGGACACTAAAAAAGTAGAAAGTAGTAAACCAAAAAAAGTGAAAAAAAAAGAAGAGAATGATCATCTTGGCCGTCTTGATTAGGTAGGATCTCTTTGTTTATCATATATATTCTATTAGGACGGGATGATTCACATTCATGGATGGACTGGATCTTAGGTGGGCCCTATAATATTGAATGATTGTGATATGAGATCTGAATGGTTCCACTTTAAGGTAGGATTAACAAACGATCTTGATGGGTAAGATTTCATTGTAGAGGAAGGAAAAATTAATTATCTTCAGAGAACCACTGTGGTTTGGTGAAAATTGCATTACTTCTAGCTTCATTCTTGTGAAATCTCGATTATCATATGTGTTCTAATGACATGCAGGCTCTGTTCAGAGCTCTCAAGACAAAACATGCTACACCAAAATATGGGCTTATCTTCCATGCATCACTAATTGGTCAGGCAGCACCAAAAATCAAAGGAAAGATTTCTCGTTCTCTTGCTGCAAAAACTGCTTTGGCTATTAGATATGATGCTCTTGGGGATGGTCAAGACAACACTATGGGACTAGAAAATCGAGCTAAGGTAACATGTATATTTGATCTCATGCCTTTAGTCTCGAGTTTGTTTCGACATGAAAATTTTAATTTCTTGAATAGCTTGAAGCCCGCCTTAGGGTTCTTGAGGGCAGAGAATTGGGTCGTTCTGCTGGGTCAACAAAAGGAAAGCCCAAGATTGAGTTTTATGACAAAGATCGAAAGAAGGGTGCGGGGGCTCTGATTACTCCAGCAAAGGTATGGGTGGCCTCATTGTTTTTATTCCTGTTGGCACAATATTTCATATTGCATAACTCATGCTGATGATCTATATGTTCCCTGGGTTATATATCATTCATATCATGTGACTTCTTTTCATGTAAAGATTTTTAAAAGTTTGTGATTTATGAAAGAAGCCCTCCAGAGGAACCTAAGTTTTGATTACCCACAACAATGACTTCAATAACTTTGAAGGATCAGTTCCTGTTATATACGTGTATCCAAGTAGAATATGGATTACAATATACATGATCTCTATTACTTGGATTTTAGATTGGCATTTTATTTTTTTTATTATGGATACTCGTTCAAGAAACTGACAATGGAATTCTTCATTTTTCTTTGCCTCTGTAGACATATAATCCTTCAGCTGATCTTGTGTTTGGGCAAACCACTGATCTAGCTCCAAGCAAGCAAGCCGCTGAACAGGAAGCAACACTTAGAAAGAAGAGGAAGCATGAGGAAGCAGAACTGGAACCCACTGGAGAAGCTTCTGAAGACCCTCCTAAAGAGGAGGGCGAGGGTGAAGGGGAGAAAAGGAAGAAGAAGAAAAAAAAGATTGAGTTAGGAAGCGCTGATGATCAAATTTCCATCAGTGAAGCAGAAGAGCAGACAAAAAAGAAGAAAAAGAAAAAGAAGGATAAAGCTCCGGGCCCTGAGTTAGTGAACCAAGATAATATTGCTGCTCCTGAATCTGAAGAGGAGCTTTCCAAAAAGAAAAAGAAGAAGAAAAAGCAGGCTGAAGAAGAGCAAGCTGCAGGTGATGCATCAAACAGGAAAAAGGACAAGAAGAAAAAAGACAAGGGCCTGTGATGTGGCAGGGTGCTTGGGGAAGGCTTTGCTGCTTTGTGGTTCTAGGTCTAGAGAATCAATTTCTGTATAATTTTTTCTATCCTTTAATGTTTGATCCTCTGAATTGATATGATATTAATTTTGGTTTTCTGCAATAACATTCAACTGATTGCATTGCAGTCCCCATATAGCAAAAAGCAAATGTTCTCCATGGTTTGACAGTGGTAATTCATGAATCAAGCTAAATTTTAGTGCTAAAAACCATGAGCCATTGCAGGATCTTGTCCTGCTATTTGCTTATATTAGTGAGATCATATTTGTTGAATTTCCTGTATCAGACAATATTTGGAGATAAAAGGTACAGTCAGAGACAATCCCTGATATATCATGACAAACCGTTGCTTGGATAATATCCAGATGAACAAATTGTAATTTCCAGAAGACTTGGTTCCCATCAACAACTCAAGGTGTTGGATTTTATCATATTATTTACCTCATGAAAAGATCATCAGGTCTCTGAAAGAGCATATGAATTTATACATAAGAAAAATGACAAGCCAGTTGAAGAGAGAATTCTCACACTTGTCATCTATGGTGGACCAGGAGGAGGGCCCAGGGGACCTCCAAAGAAGGGCCCACAGCAGTCTTCCAGTAACCAGCAGCAGCAGAGGAAGTAGAAGCTGCCATTTAAGTTTAAAACAAGTGTGTCACAACAAGATACAATGACTTGTCCTAAACAAACCAACTTGCACTGCAATCTACATTGTGCATGATAGAGATCAATGACTTGTCCAATAAATCGTTCCTAGAAGCCAAAAAGATCGTGAAGGAGAAGTAATAAAAGAACACTAACCAAAGCATAAAAGTCAACATGAGAAGCAAGATGTCAAGTTATGCCAACCAGGAGGAGGGTTCAGGTAAGGAGAGACAGAGAGAAGCTGAGAAAACCAACCATGAGGAGAGAAGGCCACAGCAGCCTGTTGGTCCAGGTGTCAAACCTGGAGGACCTCCAGGTAGGGGAGCCCACCCTGGTCCAGGTCCACCAGGTCCCATCAAGGCCTTTTTGATGTACTGATGTTGAGGCTGCTCTATGAAGCTACATATAGTGCTGGAGACTGAGTGAGGCAGCTAACCTTCATCCATATACCAACCAACTGCTGATGTCCACCTACTCTTCCACAGGAGTTTTGTTGAGCCACTGGTTGGTGAGAAGAGCCTCAGCAAAACCTCATTGATCTGCAGGTCAAGGATCCATGTGGCTCATTCCAAGGAGGAGAGACACTCAACACATGATATAGGGGGACTGGTATCAGCTGGATCATTTTACTGTATGTGTATACAGTTTATTTGATCATCTAATTAGGCATTGGGATGTAACCCAAATTGACATATCAGCTGGTTTTCTTTGGTGGGTTTAGGTCATATATGAATGACTATAGACCCACATAAAAATATGACAACAATGGTAAAAGTAAATCATCATTTAAGTTATTGTATAGCCTTATTGAGGTTATGATCTCTCTGTTTCTTTGGTCTTTTCTGAGGAGATAGTGTTCCAGATATTTTTATTTTTTTTAATGTTAGAATAATTCAACCCTAGTGCAGTAATTAATAGTTAAAATATTTCAACTATGGCTAAATTCAAAATCATATAAGAAAGAGTGTTTTACATATCATCCTTTTAAGGTATGTAAAAAAAATATATTTATCACTCTAAATTTTAATATATACATATATATATTATATCTTTAATATTTTAAAAATATGTACTAATGTCGAGGCATCACTTGCTCATGTGCTTGATGTATTCACCTTGAACAAAAGTATCTAGACGATCATATGATACATCATAACGAGAAAAAACATCTTCTTATATCTAATGTGTTCATCTAGAACAAAAACATCCCCTGTATTTGGTATATTATCTTAATAAAAAAAATAAAATATTTGATGCATCTTAATCGAATAAATAAAGCATCTTTCCGTACTTAATAATGCAAAGATAATATGTAAATTTAAAGAAGCAAAACATTTTCTCATACCTAATGGGTATTCCCAGAGAAAAAAAAAATAATATGTAAATTTGATGTATCCATCCAAAATATGCCAAAATGCTCAATATATCCTAACAAACCAAAAGCATCTATTCACTGTTCTCTTAGAATAAAGAAATCCGGAGAATCTGATATGCACTTAACCATATAAAGAATCCCATGCATTTATCCAAAACAAAAACTAAGTCATGCATGCATCAACTAAGCCAAAAACTTGTTTGTATATCTCATAATGCCCAATATATTATGATCGAACAAAATAGATGAATTCATCCACAATAAAAACATTCAAAGCATCCATATTTTTTAATCGAGCAAATTATCATTCTATGCATTATGCATCCACCAAAGTCCAAAAAAGTGTCTAAAGTATCGTAACGAAGTGACACATTCTACCAGGACATAAATGCTGAATGTGTCCTCCTAATGGAACTTGGATTTGGTTTAGACTTTGGCTCAGCTTATTCGATCCAAGTAGGCTGGTTAATGAACTTTCACATGATTCCATCCAATTAAGATGCAGTCCAGAACCAATTGATCCTTTCGATGGGGTTTATTTGTGTGATGATTTAGGTTGCATTCAGAAGCCATTCTAATTAACAGTATGTAGCATTCTGGATTAGCCATTGCATGAAATAATTATCACCATACAACATGATGCTTCAATCTGGACTATACATTCATTCTTCTTTCATTCAATTTCTTCTTCTAACAAATTGATTATGCATTCAGGCTATATATTCATTCTTCTTTCTGAAGTGCTTATCATATTTTTCTTTGATTCGATTTCTTCTTCAAGCAAATCGATTATACATTCATTCTTTTTTATCAAGTGCTTATCATATTCTCTTTGATTCGGTTTCTTCTTTAAGTAAATTGATTACACATTCCAACTATACATTCATTCTTCTTTTTCAAGTGCTTACTATATTTTCTTTGCGATTTCTTTTTCAAACAAATTGATTATGCATTCAGATTATACATTCAATCTTCTTTTTAAAGTGCTTATCATATTCTCTTTGATTGGGTTTCATAAATTGATTACACATTCGGACTACTTATCATATTCTTTTTGGTTCGATTTTTCCTTTAAACAAATCGATTATGCATTGGGACTATACATTCATTATCAAGTGCTTATCATATTCTCTTTGATTTGATTTCTTTTTCAAACAAATTGATTGCACATTTTGACTATATATCCATTTTTCTTTCTCAATTGTATCATATTTTTTTGATTTTATTTTATTTTAAAACAAATTGATTATACATTTGGACTATACATACATTCACTCTCCTTTCTCAAATGCTTATCATATATATTCTCTTTAGTTCGATTTCTTCTTCAAACAAATCGATTATACCTTAAGTTATTCGATAAGGTATAATTTATTCAATTTTCTTTTATTTTATTGGCCTCTTGAAATGAGCTATATAAGAATGTCATCTTATCAAATGCAGTATAAGAGTCAACTCAAATATGTTGGCATTACATGCCTCCCATGTTATCTTGTCTTAGTGATCACTCTCACTTAAAACGCATACTTCAGTGATTAATCAAGCGATCAAAAAAAGTAGCAAAATCCAAGTAATAAATATTGATAGCAGACAAGATTTCCTTAACTATATAAAGAAATCTCTCTACTCTGTTGAGGGAAATCCTTTATTCTGTTGAGGAAATATAACATGTTAATGTATTCAAGCTAAAGTTACTTCAATAAAGCTTCTTGCTTCTTCAATAATTATTTTTATTTTCTATTCTTTCCATCAAATATAGCTCTTGATTTCTTTTGCACGTAGATCCTAAGTTCATGAAAATAGTCAAATCCAACTCAAACACCTTAGTCTATTAAGATCATGCTCAAATGTTTCAGTCGAGGAGAGGTACGGTTGACATCGAACTAATTAAGATAGAATATCAAATTGATTCCCACAATAGAGATTGAGAAAACTGCATTGGGATTTTACAGGCAAAAGATTAATCAAACCATGGTGGATGCATTCTGTTCTTTAGTTGTCCGATTGGTCTCTTAATTGATTGAAGCAGTCGAACCAAATTAACCAAATCGGTGGACATTTGCATGTTGATTCGATTGTGAATCGAAAGAGGAGTCAGATCGGGTTAATGTGAGTCATTAGTAATTTGGAGGGAGGAATCAGATCTACAGGAAGGATATACAGCATGCAAGTCGCCAAGAGACATGCATGCATTCCTTCTTCTTCCTCTTCGGCTCCCTTTCCATGGCTACATCAACGACAAGAGGAAAAGAAGAAGAAGAAGAAGAAGAAGAAGAAGAAGAAGAAGAAGAAGAAGAAGAAGAAGAAGAAGAAGAAGAAGAAGAAGAAGAAGCACCAGGTAACTTTCTGTGTCTCCATTTGCCTTCTTTTATTTTTCTGCTTCGAGGCTCGGCCACATCTATTCATAATTTGAGACTTACAGTTTAGTTTTGTTTGTGTTGTTGTATGATCTGTCCAAGTGAGGGCGACGATGCAGCAGCAGCAACTCGCCCAGTCGTGGTGGTTCGGCAGTCTCAAGAATTCCAGGCAATCTCCATGGCTGATATCAACACTCGCAGGTTTGTTTTCCTTGTTCGCTATTCCATGCATTCACAAATATTTCTTGAATACTGCTTTGATGGTGCTATTTTCTTTTCTCCTTTTGACTTTGGTAGCAGATTATATTAGTGTAGGGGTAATCCGAGCACAGGAATTAACTTGTACGCAAACATATTTAGATTGTTTCGCGTGGTTTTCTAGCATGTCTTTGGTGTCCCTATGACCATTTTGATGCTTTGTCGTCCCGACACAGTCGGTCTTCATGAGATCATCCTAACAACGAGTCCAAGACATGAAGATGAGAGCATCAGAGAAGACAGATGTGAGATCTTAGTTTAAATTAGTATGTGTCTTTGTCGGGATCAGGTGGAAGGAAAGTCTATCGATGAACCGAAGACCAACCAATTCATTTTAAGCTGAAAGGGAAATCTTTCTTTAGATGCTAATGATATCTTGTTTGTTCACTTGCAGAGCTTGACGAGAAGACCAAACAGATGCTGCGATTGGTGGAGGACGATGCCGACTCCTTCGCCAAGCGCGCCGAGATGTACTACAAGAAGAGGCCTCAGCTGGTGAGCATGATCGAGGACTTCCGCCGCGCGCATCGCTCACTGGCCGTGCGGTGCGATCAACTCAGATCCGGCGGTGCGGCATGTCGCGTCACCGCGGCGCTCGGTGCGTCTCGGTTGGACAGGAGCTGGGCACGGAGCATAAGCAGCGACAAGGGTGAAGTCGAGTCGCGGAGCTCTGCCTCGGATTCCGACGACGACGACGACGACTCCGAGGAGTCCGAAGTGGATGATCCCGAACAAGGAGGCGAGCGCAGGGGGAGGGAGACGCCAGACGCGGATTTGGTGAAGCTGATGGGTGAGGTTGAAAGACTCAAGGAGGAGAACGCAGCTTTGAAGTCGGAGATCGCAGGAAAAGACGAAGAGAAGAGAGATGTCATCAGGCAGCTGGCGTTGTCGCTGCAGATCCTGAAGGAGGAGCACGCCGGTCTCAGGATGTGCATCAAAGATGGGAAGACGAAGGGACCCATTTCTGAGTTCAAGAAGCTCACTAGGAAGCTTTTTGGGAGGCAATGAAGGAATCAAAAGACACCATAAAACCAAATAAAAAATGTATCTTTTGTGCTACCCTTTCTTCATCCTTTGGTATTCTTGCTGGATTGCATCAAAAGTAACAAAAAGTTGAACTCCTCTGTACCTTTTGGGCACGAAAGAGCTCTCAATCATTAAGCTTGACATGTTGAAGAAGGCCTAACCAAACTTCTTCTTCCTTCCATGTTCTACTTCTGAGGATTACAGCTTGTAAGATGCAGTAGTACATCATGGAAGCACAGCCCCACGCAAGTCCGGTGGGCATTTGACATATATATATCGACGAGGACCGAGGACCACCACGTCCAGTCAACTCCTCACTCACCTGGTAGGAATTCCTCGAGTTAGATGCAGGCACTCTTTGATAGGAGATGTGCATATGGTTCTGCTTAGAAAGTATTCCTTGGCTGAGGAACAATCTATCATTTGATTCACAGACAGGCCTGAAACAGAGTGGATGAAAAAGAATTAATGCATGGTTCTTCAAAATCGTATCAATCAGGAAGGTTTGTTGGATTTGAGGTGAGCTGCCAATCACTTGTTCATCATCACCCACCAAACCCAATCATGGAGGAACAGTCACTGCTTTTTAGGCCTGTTTTCCATCTTAGCTCGAGCCAAATCAGTCCACTCCTTGGTGTCATTCCATGTTATTTGATGCCCGAGTTTGCTTGTTCCTTTGCGCCCCTTGCCAACCTGTGCCGTGCCATCCGTCCCCCAATCAGCGCTCTCCATGTTGCATCGATGAGTCTCTCTCTCTCTCTCTCTCTCTCTCTCTCTCTCTCTCTCTCTCGGAGGTTTATTCCCACACACATAGCACTTTCCCCCATCCTCCTTACACTAAACCCGTTACCGACGCGATGGCCACCATCTTCACCCTCTTCTCCCTCTTTCCTCCCAGTTTGGGTCACAAAGAGCTGCTCTTCTCAACCTTAGCCACCTTTTTGCTCCTCGTAACCACGCCCAGGCCATCTCACTCTTTTCCTCTTGCACTAAAGACCTTCACCATCTCGGCGGCGCCGGCGCTTCTTCCATCCACGCCCGAGTTCTCGTCCTCGGCGCCCGCATTGGCCCCAGACACAATGCCGGTGTTCCCCACGCCGGGAGGCCGCGCCGGGACGCCGCCCATCAGCTCGCTGCCGATCATCCCGTCGAGCCCGAGCCCGCCGAACCCCGATGAGATACAGCCCAATTCGGCGGTCGCTCCTTCCGGCTCGACTAACTTGACGTCAGCGGCTGCGCACTCTACTTGGAGCTCCGGCAGGGTGGGCATGGCTGCGGCGTGTGGGTTGGCGCTCATGTGGTGGTAAGATATGGTAGGCGAGTAATTCACTGCAGTAAGTAGGGCTCGGTGGATGCATTTGTGATTACTTAAAAGATTATTTTACTTGTGGTGGAGCTGATCTTGTCATACTGCTGGTGCGGTGTTCTATAAATATTGTGAAGGAAGTGGTGATTTGATATCATTGGATGCATATTTATTGGAAAAAAGGTGGTGAAATGATGTGCTATCATGTACTCATTATATTTCTTTTGTTTTCTCCCATCCAAAAGCTGCTCTCATCAGTGGCTATTCTGCCTATGATCATTTCCTTTACTGCAAGCCGCTCTCTCCAGAAAGCCATGCTTCTGATCATTTATGCTGGTGAGTGGATGTCCCAAGGCAAGTCCTTGTTAGAATTGCCTCGAAAGCGCACACAAGATTGTTTCCCTCTACTAAGTTGCAGTGTGCTCACTCACAGGTACGGTCTTGGGTTTAAGTGCATATAATGGAGGAAAGCTTTGGATCACGAAAATATAATTTTTATTTTGAAATTTAGATTGATTATGATATACATGATTGAGGGATGCAGCAACATCATCATCAATGGACCATTACAGCTGGTGTTTGCCACATGAGGAATGTGTCTTGTTAATCTATGCTACACAATTAAGTAGTAGCTGTAATGCAATAATCCCTTTGAGGGCTCAGTACTAGTCAGCATGTGAATGCCAGAGTGAGAATGAGGACTAGACAGGCATCATCAAGCTAGGCAATCTAAGACTCTGAAGCTAGTCAACTGATGGATATCAGTCACTATCCATGGTTGTGGCACAAGAAAAAGAAGTCTTTGCTGTGTGGCTTCAAAAAATGTCCCCTGCATGTGAGCATGGGAAATAATGGGGGCTTGCAATGATATGAGGACGACACTGTGGAAGTACTGAAAGTGATAGGGAACATGGGCTATTTGGCTTCTACTGCACATGCGATGTCTTCACCTCCAAACACTGTCTAGCCAATCAACCGATAAAAGTGAGGTTTTTACTACTAAATAGAAATATGCAGCTTTCCTCACTCATTATGCATATACTAAAAAAGTTTTACATGAATACTAGCCTTTTTATAATAAGAATAGCTAGATATGAGAACTATCATGAGCGTTTTACCTAAAAATACACTGGTAATAAGAATAGCTAGATATAAAAGACATTTTACCTTAAAAAAAAAAAATCAATGTTGAACTTTTACCAAATGTGTCACG